AACGTGGACTCAATGCCAAGTCACCGTCTCTGCAGACTTGAGTGCACTTTCTTCCTATTGCTCCGCCACCTCTGTCCCTCCAGCAGGCCCATCTGCACACATGGAGCGGCCTGAAGACGGAGTTCCTACCCTGCTCTTGCTAAGTGAGCAGCAGATGTTTCTGTCACAGCTTGCATCATTGTCATCTATCTCTGTGTAACAAAATACTAAGACAATAAACACCCATATTCTCTTCCCAGCAACTTCTGCTAGTCGTTTTGTTTTGGTTCGGCTTCCTCTGACTGCAGAAGCTTAAGATCGCAAAACAGCCACTGATTCCAGTAAACCCCCAGGCTGCTTCACACACAGGATTTACATCCTTCTTTCTTCCTCTGCCTCTCTTCTCCCGCCCAGGTCTGCCCACCTACACATCCACAGAAGAGATCCACACCCTTCAGAGCTACTCCTTACTCCCTAAGACCAGACTTCCTTCCCGGCAAAATTCCAGCACTCACCAGCCATGGCTGTCCTCGCCTACTTTCCTGTGAGACAGGAGAAGGAAAGCTGTTCCCTCCCTCCTCAGTGGCATACATGCTCCTGAGAGAACCACTGCAGATGTGTTTATAGGCTTTTATTGCCCTAAACAAGGTTGAATTTCTCAAGGTTGGACTAGGTCTCAGAGCACATCCTTGGGAAACTTTCTTCCATTTACCTTGGAGCAGCTCAGAGTAGAAGAGCCGTCATGCTTCTATAATAGAAAGTAAAAATACTTGCATAATTAAACTCGATAAATGACCTAGTGTTCCTTATGAATTGCCTTTCAGAAAAACAATTCAAACTCTGGAGAATCTGAGGCACTCTACTCTGCTTTCCTCCTTAATTATATCATTGCTAGTACTCCTGTTTCAGCTCCTATTTCTTTTTTTTTCTTTTTCTTTCTTTCTTTCTTTCTTTTTTTTTTTTTTGTACAGCGTCTCTCTATGCAGCTCGGACTCATAGTGGTCCTGCTGTTTTCAGCCTCCCCAGCTCTGGGAATACAGGAAGGCGCCACCACACCTGGTCTCGCTCGCGGGCTCAACGCGCCTGGGGCAGGGCCAGCACGGCATGTGGTACAGGGGATCAAACCCACAGGCCCGATCTCATTTCCTCGCAGAATCACGTTTGCACCACTTCAAACATTGCTCCCCATGCTCCACTTCTATCTGGATTCTCTCTTCCCTTTCATTCTTCCCATACTCTTTGTCTACGTAGCGCATCTCTAAGTCTATGGATTCCTTACGGTTGGATTGTGCCTAAAAGACCAATGAAAACAAGCATTTTCTGTTACATTTACAGAGTTTTTTGTTTTTTTTGTTTTTTTTTTTTCCATACTAGGGATTGAACTCAGGATCCTGTGCTTGCCAGGCAAGTGCTTATTCTACTGAGCTATCTCGCTGGCCCCCACATTTACATATCTTTATCCAGATTCAGGAAAACTCCTTACTAGAAAATCAGAATGAATATTTATGTTAATTTTTATTTACTTAACATTCATTACTCTAGAAATTTGTTTGCCTGATTCCCAAAGCACTCTGAAGATCACTACGAATTTTTGGACACCCACACCAATCACTTCTGGAAATGGCATGGAACTGAGCATATTTGCTGCACAAGAAAGTACATGTACATTGAATTTGGTCTTGGGCCAGGGAGATGACTCAGTAGAATAAGCGCTTCCCTGGCAAGCACAAGGGTGTGAGTTCAATCCCTGGTTCTGCCAAAAAAAAAAAAATAAAAATAAAAAAGATATAGGCAGTGAATCTAGTCTCTTCATAACGATAAAGCATGCACGCGCACGCACACACACACACACACACACACACACACACACACACTTCCCAGGAGTTGGTAGGGTTTTCTTTAATACTACAAAGTTAACTTGCTAGTAGAATGTATGTTGTGAACGCACCTGAACTAGGGGTAGGCACACTGTGGACCTCCCGACCTCCCTCAGGCCCAGTGAAGGTGTTTCCATCAAGCAGCAAAGCTGTATGAAGCTGCCTCCTTTAATCTGGCTTTCTGATTAACTAGGACCTCTGGCTGAGGCTGCCTACATGTTTTCATGATAGCAAGCAGATTTTTGTCTGGCCAGAATTGCGTCGCCAAAGGCCACAGTTGCAGAGAGAGGTGGGTCGTGAGACTGGGGGCTGAGATGAGAGATTGTGTTTCTGCTGAGGCCTGCATGACTGCAGAGAAAATCCCTTCCTGTAACTTTCTAGTTAACCACCAACTGGATCTGGCTGTTTGGTCTCTTTCAGATGAACACGTTGTTCCCTCTGTTATAAGCCTCACCTGCCCAGTTCATGGTCTAGCACATCCAGCCATGCCTTTTGTTTCCTGTGAACAATTAGCCATCCAGATCCCTGCTGCACCACCGTTTGTCTCTTGCACTTTCTTTGTGCCTTGTGCTGTTATACCTGGAGGAGTTTGGGGCCTTCCGGGATGTACTACTGTCTTTCAGTCACAGCGTAGTCCAGGTCCCCAAGCAGCTTCTTCACTCCTGTAATGTCACATCCGGCCCCTTTCCACACACTGAGATGGTCAAACTCTGTCCTGCATAAGACGAGAGCCTGCAGAGTGTGTTCATCTCTGCCTTTATTGAGTAGATATGCAGTGAATTTTATTTACTTCACTTCTTGATAGCCCCATAGACCCATAAGTGTTACTTCATTAAGTTCTCACCACTTGTCCTGTCCCCTGATCTCCACCATAAGACATGGGCTTATTGTAACCCAAGCCAGACCCAGGACTCATATGGGAAGAGCAGTAAGGAATCCTTAGGAAATCTGAATAATTTCTAGACTTTCCTCTTCCTTTTTTTCCACCCAATCAATCTTAGGATCCTTGTTTCAAAACAACTTTCATGAAAATCAACTCAAAATGTCACATTCAAGATGAATATAACAAATTACTTTTCACTTTTGGTAGTATTATTAATTTGGTACTGTTTTTAGCATGTCAACTTATGATGTTTTGTGAGCTTTAATGACATTTTAAAAATAACCATCGTGTCTAGGATTTTCAAATAAAGTACAAATAGGCACTACTGGGTCATGTAATTTTATAAGTTCTTTTAATCTATAAACATAGTTGAAATACTCCTAATTCTTAAATAGCTAAAATAAATAG